ACCAGGCTGTGCTGACTCAGAAAAGGCTGATCTTGAGTGAAGTCTCTGTGAAGCTGAGGCCATCCCTGAATTCACTGGCAACTGAAGGGGCCCTGCTGGCCAGTCTCCCCTCAACAGAGAGGAAATATCCTTGGAAAGGAGATCAGTGTGGTGCATCTCCATAAGCACTACAAATCAACACCATGTCCCTGAATAAAGGCTAATGGATTTTAGGATGGTTTTGTCTTCAACAGACAGACATAAATCAAAAATGTTTAAACTATAATATCCTGTGTTCTAGTACATGCACAACATATCTGATTTGGGCTTCCATAGATATTGTGCCTTAATATGTATAAGATTAGTCTTTCTATAGCCTCATAATTTTAATACAGTGCAGCAATTTTTTATATAACCTCTTTTTCTCCCATCTCTTTCACCTTTATTTTTTCTACTTTCTTTATACAATAAATATGTAAATAATAAATAAATAATGAGTTCACACTAGGGAGAATATATTATTAGGGAAAGATTAATGTAGACTGTAACTGAAGGGTGACCTTACAGCCTTCAAAAACCATTTACACATTTCTTGTTTATTGATGTGTTCACACATTTGTAACAATGTCAAGTTTGTAATTAAGCCATATCACTCATTTCACTCTCCATCTCCAGCTTTGGTTTTCATTAAGTTTACTTGTAGACCAGAAGCAAACTGGAAGATCCCAACACTGAAAGACTCTAATTCTGCATAAATTAAGATACTGAGCCGGAGGTAAATTTTTCATGCCACAATTTATTAATGCGTAATAAAAGAACACAAGTATCAAGAGAAAAGGGCCATGGAGCAAGGAAGAAAGATAGTGCAGTGGCTCCTTTTCTGTGTTAACTGGGCCATAGAATGCTCAGACAACCAGAAAAACATTATTCTGGGTGCGACTGTGAGAGTATTTCAGGAAGAAATTAACTTCTAAATTGGTGGATTGAATAAAAAAAATGAACCTCTCCAAACAACTTTGGGTAGGTTTTATCCAACCCATTAAAGCTCTAAGTAGAACAAAAAGGTAAAAGAAATTGAACTAACTCTGTATATTGAACTGGGACATGGATCTTCTCATCTTCTCCTGTGCTTGGCATTCCTGGGTTTCAAGCCTTCAGGCCTTCAAACCATAATACCGGTGTTCCAAGGTGTCCTACTTTGAGAGAGCAAACTCTAGGGGTTTTCAGTCTCTACAAACATGAGAACCAATACCTTAAATGAATGTCTTTACACACACACACACACACGCACACACAATCTCTTCTTCTCTTTCCCTATAGTGGTCTATTACAGAGAATGACTAAAAAGTGACTACCAAAGATATCACAAAAAAAATACAACTGATTTCTTTGTCACTCCGTATATCGCCAGAGAATCAATCAGGAAGAAAGAATGGAAAAGAATTTTTCTTTTTGCTCCTTCCAATCTTGTTTTTGACTGTTCAAAGTGCACTTCAGGGACATTAATTTATTCACAATTCCAGTATACTCCATGTACCCCTATTGACTGGTCACTATAAAGGCAGATCTCTCTCCCACAGCACGGTGTCTTGTCCAAATCTGCAAACTGGGAATGGAATCCGAGCCTCCAAAGCACTAGTGACGTTAGAATGAAAGCTGTGTAGAATGTTGGCTTCCAGTTTGGGAGATACTGAAGCAGTCGTAATTGTCAGGGAACAAGGCTGGAGAGAGGTTCGGTGAACCTGAGTCTAGCTACACAGTTAGGCTTGGGTGAACTCAACTAAAAACATCTGGGAATGAGTGCAAGTTTTGTCTATCAAAACCCTCTTTATAAAATTCTAAATGAGAGTGTATACATATACATAAAAACAGCAGTCCTCTATGAACCTGTAATAAAAGTTCAGAGTAGAAAATGAACTCGGAGGTTATAGAGGCAAGTTTTAGCATCATAATAGGACAGGAAATTTGAAGTGACTTGCTCAAAGTTACAGAAAACATCTGAGATCAAAGAACAGAACTCAGGTCTATGGATTCATAAGTCAAGGATTTGCTTCACTGTGTCATTCTGCCTCTCATTTCATATCATAATGTTTAAATAAACAGATTTCACATAAAATTCTAGTCCAAGTTATATACATCTCACCAACTTAATGAAAAACTTAAAAGCAAGGAAATAAATAAAAGAGTAAATAACTAATATTGTGAAAAGATAGTCACATATTATAAAATGAAATCTTACCAGCTGCCATAGAATAGAGAATGAGTAGGATCTTGCGATATTTGTCCTGAAAGTGACCTTATAGATTATCCAGTTCATAGGACCTTACCATGGGATCAGTAGACTTCTCTATGAAGGGACCCACTAAAATTACACGCAAAACATTATGTAAATAAATGTGTATTTTCATAAGAAGTTTTATAGATTTATGATATCCTCAAAAAATCTTTTAAAGCTTTAAATGTTAAAAAAAAAAGGGAGTGGAAGGAAGAAGAGGACATGGGAGGTGTGAAAGAGCCTCACTCAACTGCTCAATTTTATCCAGAAGGAAACAGAGGGTCAGAAAAGTGACAGGTAACAAACTGGGTATGATGAAATGAGTGAAAGGCAGAAGCAGGACCAATCTATTTCTCTGTGAATCTAGATTCACTGCAAGTCTCATTAATGGAAACTTTCCCTAGAGCTTTTTGGAACTAACCATTAGAAAAAGACAAGAAAACTAAATATTAAGATCAAAGCTATTTAAAGTCTTTTCTTTAGGGGGATCTTATAAGGCAAATGCTCATATTTTTATAAAAGAGAAGAGTGGCAACTCAATAGATTTGCCTCCCCAGGTCTGAGTCAGTAGAGACAATGCTGATCTGGAGTCTGTTATTTTCTCTTCCTTTTACTTCTGCTATGATGCATCACTATTGTTTCTGAAAAAGTAAAGAATGAACACAAATTAATACAAATTATGTATGTTGGTTGCACATTCACAGCTCAGAATTTACAAACTCATTCTCTTCATAAATCTCTATATGAGAAGAGAAAGACTATGAAAGCTAAATAATTTTGTTGATCTTTAAAAGTGATTTTTTTAAAACCTGAAATGCAGATGAAGATAACTATGGTGTCTCTTCAATCATGCCCTTCTTTTGTTGAGGATTCAGTGAGAAACAAGCTATTGTTTCTATACTACATATGAGTATCTTATTTGGTGGAAGTTATCTAATTATCTAATGAACTTGTTAATTTTTATTCTACATTCAATTTGTCATTAAAAACAACTTTTAAAGTATTTTCAGTCTTTAATATTGACTTTGCTTCTTTTGTTCTCTATGGTAATTTGAGCTTCAAAGTGTACTTTGGTCATGTCACTAAGGACATAAATGCACTGTTTTTAGAATAGGTGTCTTATTAGACAGAGGTTGGGGATTGACATAGTTTTTGAGATTTTTTTTTTTTAAGTTCTTGGATGTATTTTCCTTCCAAATAAAGTTACTCTCTGTTCATTACATGCCATGCTCCTCTTACTCACTCTCTTGGCTGAAATAACTTTGCTTAAATGCTGGCTCTGTTTCTTTATTCTGTTCTTGTGTAACTTGGTAACTTGGCAGCTCTGTGTAGATACTGTATTTGCAGTGAAACAGAGTAGGTGAGTCCTCTTTGATTCCTTCCTTACCTAAAATTGTTTTTTTCTAGGCTGCTCCTGAATACTGGATTTCTGGAGCACATGAACTGGGGTGTGGAGAAGGCTATAGAAGAAGGTGATTCAGCAGACTCTGTGGTCTTTAAATTCATTCCCATCCAAATTGTCTTATTGTCTCACACCTATTCTCATTCCATCATGTCCAGAATGCTTCCCCATCCAGTGCAAGAACACCTTGTGCCTTCAGGTAATTCCCCTAACCCAATGTGTATAAGCAGACAGATTCACTGTGACTACTTCAATTGTTCTCCCCTCTTTGGAGTCATATCCGCTTCCCAACAATACAGGAGAAAAACATATGTATAATGTGTTTTTTGCCACTTCAGTTAAAAATCTGAGGGTGGGTGCATGCAGCAGCAGCTGAGGATTTCCATAAGCAATGTCTGCCTCCTACTTCTCTCAAGTTCTTTCTTATTTACTGCATCTTTCATCTTGTTTGATTAAATTGCAGTTTGCTACTGGAGATAATTAGTGCTGAGTGTTTATAGGAGTATTTAGCTTTTCCTTTACAGCTTTACACCCATTAGGGAATCACCAAAATGGTGAAATATAATCATTTCCGTGTCTCTTACAGTCTCAGAAAAGGTCAGGTGAAGGCTTCTAATCTTGTGGAAATGTCTGCCTCCTCCTCCTCCAGAATCCATTATCCTCCACTAAAAGTATTATTGACACTTTTCAGGCATGTTTTCTAAATAATTGTCAGCCCCCTCTGTAGCAGAATTTGGAGCCCCTTGGACTGTCCCAAGCTAAGACATGTTAGTATTTTGAAAGCATAGTTAATTGCTTTTGCCACCCTCCAATTATTTGCTTTGATTATGCTAGTATTTTATTTGTGATCTTTGGTTTACTTTAGCTATTTGTTTACCCATTGTCTATTTCATTATTTTGGCATAAATTCACTACCTTAAAATTGAAGTCTGGAAAAGATAACTTTTAAAATAACTAAAATATGAAAGTATTCACAGAAAGACTATTCATGGATAAATTACAGTAAAAGAGTGAAAGGAATGTTTTCTGTCAATATTTTCCTCCTGTTGCATTTCTGTCCCCACTTTTCCATTTTCCTCATCTTCATCCTATTGTCCATCCTTGAGTACCACAGTGTACTCAGGAAGCACTTGAATTTGGATGTTCTCATTACACGGGGATAAGGAGGAGCAAAGGGGTGCAGTTAAATTCTGACAGGGGACTTGCGCTTGCTCCTTTCCATTCTGTGGCTAAGTACACACACACACACACACACACACACACATACACACATGAGATCATCATAGGCTGCAATATTCCCTCAGGGGGGAAATTGGAAATATAAGTACAATGTTCAATATCTTCTTTGTAGTTTTACTCCCCCACTGGTGTCGAATAGTGTGAATCCATGGTAAGACGTTCCTTGGGAAAAGGTAATGGACACAATCAACAAGGCTGGTGGGTTTCATTACAGAAAGCACCTACTGCTACTAAGAAATAGAACTGGCAAACAGATGGCTACCTGCACAGAAAAGTTCAGGAAATTAGCCAAAGCTTCCAGGTTGGCAATGCTGCCCAGACTCCCCAGGATTCGTCACAGCTATACCGTTCCACTGAGTTGACATGGGACTCCCACAATGTCTAGACATTAATGCAGTCTGTTTGTTCAGCAGTGATAATTTACACTGACCTCGTTGAAATCAAGATGCCAAGGTGCTAATTGAATAAAATTGCCACAATATTATCAGTTTTAGTACTACATGATGTACTTTAGTAGAGGATATAGAACCTTCAAAAATATGCACAAAGGCAGTAAGTACACATGCACATATATATACAGTACTTATAAAATAGTATATACATATACGAGTCTGCACATATGTAAAATAGTGTGTGTATACACGTCAGGAATGTATATATTCATATGTATGACAAATAGCAAAAGAAAGAATTTGATTCATGATTATGAAACTGAGAAACTGGTCATAATACTAAATGTATCCTATATTTGATAAATGAATAACAGTAGAAGAAATTCTATTTTAATTGGAATTTGTTAAAAGTTTATAACTGATCAAGCAATTGATTAGCCTAATCAGGAATGAGATCTTGAAATTATTACAGTGACGATTTTGCAGAACAATTAGATGTAATTACTTGAAAGATCTGGCCCAGTGTTAGTGTTTGATAGATGGTAGCTGTTGTTTATAATGATGATTCTAAAGGCTTTTCTTTTTTAATATTGCTTCTATATCAGTTTGCTTTCAAAATATACACTAAAACAATATTCAGTAGAAAGCATTTTTCAGAACATTTAATATCCGTTTAATAAATATTTTTTAAAATGGGGAAAAGTTGGAGTAAGGAATTATCCAGAAAATCTGAATTAAAGAAATATATAGCAATCAAGCATAAAGCTTACTCTGAGTTTTCTGGAAGTCAAGGAAAGAAGATGAACATGAGAAACATCCTTGATAACTAAATAATACGAAGTCATACCAATGTCCCAGGAGAAGCAAGTATTTCTCTATCTATGAAATCCATCAGAAACATATCTGATGATTGTTTGTATAAGCAGAATAACCTACTTCTTATTTACTAAGGGCCCTTCCAAGTTAAAGTCTGAGATTGTCTACAAAAAACTTTCACTCTCAAAAATGTTCACATTTGGCGCTCATTCTCCACAGTAGCAGAAAAAGATACTTAACCAAAGGACTCATTTTCAAATTTAATGAGGCTTGAAACATTATTGTGAAAGCCTTCTTTAAGAAACAATATATATAATTAGACGTACAAAATTAGGAAGAAATTGTAGTGTTTATATAGGTGAAAAAATAAATCACAAAATATTAAAACTTTTAAAAGTTGCTAACAAACTAATAGCCTGCACTTCATCTACATTTCAAACAGTTTCTTTTCAACAAATCAATATTTTTGGCTACATTTATTGGCTCTATTCTCTAGGAACATTTCTTTCTAGGACAATAATTTTATTATATTATTACCTATAGAAAAAATAGCATGGTTGGTTGAAGTTTTTATTAGTACTGATAGTTTTAAGAAATTTGAGTTTCACATTCTGTGCTGTCATGTATATTTTTAAGATTGTTATCAATTTGGGAAAATATTATATTTGTAAGATTTTAGAGAATTTGTATTTCAAGTTTTCTTGATTTGATTAATTTTAAATATTCTTTCTGCTGACAATATACATCAACCAGTATATTACTAGTTGTTTAGTTATAGAAGTATATTAATTTTGTTGTCTCTTAATGGCAGTAATTCATGTCAAATTAGAATAAAATTACTATGAAATTTAGATATTTTCTCAATATGTTCATCTTATGTGTTCTTCAAAATTGGATTATCAAATAATCCAAGAGTCTCAATTTATGAGAAATTTATCTTCAGGATTTATTGCTTTAAGTATGTTCTACTTGGAATATTTTCTGGAATGTCTAGACTTTAGAAAAGTGGTCAGATACACAAAGATGAGATCTGAAACACTGAGATACATAAAATATGAGATGACATACAAACTTACAGTTTATATCACTTCTTCAAGCTTGTGTCCTACAAAGACAGGAATAAACCATCAGCCTAAATCTTTTCTTAATAACAGTCTTTATTTGTGTAAAAGGGCCTTTTCCTTCTGACTCTTATTAAAAGAGATCTCTGCTGATTGATGACCTATAGGAAAACTTCGAACTAGTCTGCTTATGGTTATAAACCTAAATACTATAAAAAGATCATTGTATTCCAACTTGGCCAATATATTTAAAAGTGCATTCTTGGTTTAAAGATAATTGTTTTGTGTGTTTGTATGTTTGTCCATCTGTTTGTTTAATGTGTGTTAACTGGTTAAAACACCTGCAGCTGATTTAAGAAAAATATGTTTTTGAGCTTAACAGTTTATTTTTATTTTTACTTTTTTTTACTTCTTTTTCAGATTTCCATGGAAAGACCATTTATATAGGTTTTCAGAGTAGCCAAATTCATTTGAAATACTACCAGATAAAGACTGACAGGCTTGAGGCTTACATAGGAGCAAAAACCTTAAAGTTTGATAGCATAAAGTTTACATATGATTTAGATTTATATGTTGTCTTTGTGTGTTAACATTTAAGTATACATTATCCTCTAAAAGTTCTATTTAAGTTGACTTAGAGATAAACATTCAAGACATTATCTCAAATGCTTGTGGTTCATATAGCTTGTTAAGAGTAAAAATGTCTTTAAAGTTGGTAGCATATTTCTATACAGGTTCTTAGGTAACCAAGATAATATCAAGAATCAGTTTTATAAATCCAATGTCTATCATTGTCTGTGTAGCCTAACTTAACAGTTTTCCTAGGTCAAAGGTAATATGTATAGCTTTAAATATGTGTTATCTGGTATGATGGGTCACTAAAAGGTTATGTTTTCTATCTCTAAAATAATATGGTTTTCTAAAAATACTGATATGTTCTTGATTAAACTTACAAAACTAAATTTAAACTATATTTTGCTGACATAAGTATCTTGTGTTTTTATTGTTTGGCCTTTAGTTACTAAAAAATGAGCTTTAAGTCACACAGAAGATGCCTAATCACCCCGCTGCAGACAGGCAGGTCTGCCCAAACACTACCGAGGTCCTGAGTCGCACAGAACACGCTGAGTCAGCCCGCTGCCGACATGCAGGTCTGTGCACGCCCTACCGAGGTCCTGAGATGCACCGAAGATGCGGAATCACCCCGCTGTAGACAGGCAGGTCTGCCAACACACTACCGAGGTCCCCAGTAGCGCAGAAGACACCGAATCAGCCCACTCCAGACAGGCAGCCACCTGGTTCCACACTACAAAGACGCAGAGGACACCAGACCACCAGACCGAGGTACTGAGTCCTGCTGCTCCTGGTCCAGAGGAAGGGGCTTCCAGGCCACCATCCCTCCCACTGCTCCCAGCCCAGAGGGAGGGGCTTCTGAGCCACCATCCCACTGCTCCTGGTCCAGAGGAAGGGGCTTCCCAGCCACCATCCCTCCTGCTGCTCCCAGCCCAC